AAAAAAAAAAAAAAAAAAAGAACAAAAATATTTCAAAAAAAAACAAAGATCAGAAAAGACCAAAAAGAAGTGATTAGTTAGATATGGTGAAGAGGTGAGAGATTGCAGAGAGACTGTTGACTGAGGACTGAGTGAAGATTGGTGATTGATGTTTGATGATTGAAGATTGGAGAGTGGTGACTGGAAACCAACAAACCCCCGCCAACCCGAAAAAAAAAGAAAAGAAAAAGAAAAAAAGGGAAAAAAAAGAAAGGAAAGAAAAGAAAAGAAAAGAAAACACCAAATACAAAATCCAAATACAAAATCACAATCAAAAAGGCAAGGAACAAATTACAAAATCATAATACAAAATGAAGATGTGAAAAAGAAAAGAAAAAGAAAGCACATTGAAAAAAAAAAAGAAGAAGAAGAAGAAGAAGAAAAGAAAAGAAAAGAAAAGAAAAAGGAAAAAAATTAGATAGATAGGATAGTGGGGTGACAGAGAGACTGGAGCTTTAGTGAAGATTGGTGATTGATACCCAATGTCTGATGATAGCTATTTGGAGAAAGGAGATGAGCTTTGAGTGATTGGAAGAGGAAATGGGAACTCAATTGGAGAGAAGACTTAGCTAGATTTGGGGGGGCTGGTTGGAAGGTTACTGGGGTGGACTGGGATGCAGTTGGAAAGGGACTGGACTGGACTGGACAGGATTGGACTTGGGTATAGGATGAGAGTTGGAATGGGGGCTTGAAAGGGTTGGATTGGGACTGGTTGGTTACCAAGGGAAAAAATCGGAACTAGGTTGATGGTTGATTTGAAGAGTGAGCTTGAGCTGAAAGAAAGCTATGGTCTTGGAAGACGGGGCAGCATCTTGGAAAGGGGGTCAAGGGACAGTTGCATGGAGGCGGATTTGGAAAGGACATACCCCATGGAGGATTGGATATATGGTGCTGGGGCATTCTGAGGACTGGCTGGTGATTGAATGAGACTTGAGCAAGGTCAAGAAGAGAGCATTGGCATGAGACATGAAGTTGATGGTTGATTGAACTTGGTGACAGGGGTTTTTTACCCGGGTGATGTCTTGGAGTGATTGACATGGAGGCTTGACATGGGGTGACGGATGTGAAGTGATTGATTGGTACGGGATGGTTGATATTATATGGTTTGGGGGATTGGGATGGTGATTGACATGATTGATAATTGATGGTTGATGGTTTATTTGGAGTGGTTGACATGGAGGATGGCTGATATGGATTGGCTTGGAAAGAGGCAGAGGGTGGTCTGCGAGGAAACGATTATGAACCGATACCGAACTCGATTGACTCGTCGATGGGCTCCAAGGGACAAAGGATTGAGGGTTGAGAGGATGGGAGGGATCCAGGGATTTACAGAGTTAGGCCGGAGAGAAGGGTATTGGGTTGGCGGGTGGGTGGGAATAAACCCAATACTCGATTTGAGGGTTGATGGCCCATGGAGGAGAGAGACATTTGATTGAGAGAGACCCCATGGGCCCAGGGGAATTTACAGAGAGAGAAAGGAGAAAGTGATATGGAAGGATCATGATTGATCTTCTATTATCGATGGAGTTTAGTATAGCATGCATGTATCTCCGTAAGTTATGAGCATATGGAGCAATCGAATGTACTTTTAGTTAGGAACCTCCCAAACCATTTCCGTTTCCATGCCGTATAAACATGCTCTTTTTCATTAAGAAAGAAACAAAACAAAAAAAGCCGTAGTCATTAACTAAGGTAGATGAGAGATTGACTTAGAGAGTCTTCTCGATCATCTCGATACCGTACTCCTCCTTCAAAGCCTTGATCAAGGGCCCGCAGATCTTCATGTTCATGGGAGCAAGGATACCCTATTCAAAGGTTAGAATTGCTCACAAAAAGATTGAAGTTAGGGGTTAGGTTGAGCGACATACCTTCTCGCTAAGAGTGCCGTCAAGAACCTGTCTGACAGCAACGGCACAAGGGATACCGACGAGCTTAGCCATGGCCGAGTAACCGTTTGGATCACCATAGTCGCACAAGGTGCTGGTACGGGTCTCCTTGGAACCATCCTTGTTCTCGATCTCGAATCGGTGCTGCAACATGACCATATCCCTCTCGCCGGGACCGTACTGCATCTTCTGCTCGAGGGTAGCACAAAGGGTATCAAGCGGGTTATTGCGAGGCGTGATCTTCTCATCGGAGAAAACACCAATCCATCGCAGCGCAGCCATGATACGGTCCTTCTCCTCGTTATCAGCGAACTTGGTCTTGGAGGAGATGGCCCACTGCAGATCCTTCTCGTCCGACGAAGTGGCGCCGAGAAGCTGCTTCATGGCCTCCTTCCATGGAATAGGCGTCTTCATGAACTCCTTCTCGTCCTCCTTGAGGAAACCTAGATCAACCAGGGTGCGGATCATCTGCGGGAAGCCCTGGAAGCGAAGAGTGCCACGGACAATGGTCTGGGCTTCGGGCATCTGGTAGCGTTCCTTGTAAGGGGTTGAGTCGCGGTTGGCGTAGGCAACGAAGGCGAAACCAGGGTAGATGAAGTATGGCTTTGCGGTGCCCATGAGCTCGGGGCCGGGGATGGAGACGATCTTGCCGTCCTCATAGTACTTTGCGTCATTGCGGAGGGCGAGAAGCATGCCTCTGCTGGACCAGGAGAATTTGTAGCCGAGTGGGTTGTCGGAGCATTCTGGGGCAGGCAGACCACCACAGTAGGACAGGAAGGATGTGACCTTGCCACCGGCTTCATGGACCTACGGCAGGTCAGTTGGATGTTGTTTATGCATGAATACTTTGGGTAGACCTACCTCTGAGATGGTCTTGACGGCATACAAGTGATCAATTCCCTGGACGTAGGTTAATATCAGGATCTATAGGGTAGACGGAGTGAATATGCTAGACGTACGGGATCAAGACCGATCTCGTTCATGACTGTGATGCCGGCCTTCTTAGCATCCTCCTGCAGCTCCATCATGGCCGGCGAGACGTAAGAGGTAGTGACTACATTCTTCTTGGTGCGGATAGCTCCCTTGATGACGGTAGCGTGATGGATGTATGGGATGAGGGAGATGACCAGCTCGACCTTGGCCAGCTCGGCGTCCAGGGCAGCAGAGTCATTGACGTCCAGGGAGATGGCGTTGGTGTTCTTGATGCCCTTGCAGAGCTGCTGGGCGCTCTCGAGGGTACGGCAGGCTGTTTCATCCCGTCGTTAGCTGGTGGTCTTTCAGTCAAGTATACAGCTGTATTTTATATAGAGGCACCGCGGGGGAAGATATCACCCACCAACAGTCAGGAGGACACCGGCCTTGCTCAGCTCGTCGATGGTAGGCTTAGTGACTGTCAAACAGAGGTAAGAATATCAGCCAATTCATCCGTCCAGACGCTCTCTCTTGTCGTTGTATCTGAGGCCGCTCGACTAACCGAAGCCGCTTCCAAGCCTGTTATCGTGAGTCAGTCAAGCTAGCTACCGATAACGGAGGGGCAGCAGGGAGGAGGCCGCAGGAGGGACATACAGAAGCACTTTACGACCTTCAATTGAGGAAGACATGGTATCGACAGGCTGTTTATGACGGAGACAGACGGTGGTGAAGCAGCAGAAGCGGTGATGGAGAGTGGAAGAAGTCGAAAAGTCGAAGACGAAGAATCGACTTTGTGCAGTTTTATGTCTCTTTTCTAACTACGAGTTAGTCAGCAAGCAAGTCATTTAGTCGGTCAAAGGCCGGCTTCATCTTTGCTTCTTCTTCTTCTGCTGATGCTGCTGATGCTGCTGATGCTGCTGCTTGTTGTTTGATATGGCCTATTACTCGAGGCGGATGAAGATCTTGCTGCCCAACTGGCTCGGGTCTACTGGTGTTGCGGTGGCTGTACGAACTCGTCTATGCGGATTTCATTACTATTATACAGTAAGAGACAGTAGGTAGAGAAGAAGAAGAAGCATAGGTAGAGGTAGAAGAAGGCGTAGATATAGGTATAGGTATAGGTATAGGCAGAGGTCAGGAGGTAGAAGGTAGAAGGTAGACACAGGGGTATATGCAGGGTGGAAGAATCTATAGAGACTTGAATTTGATATCATCGTCCTCCGTCAGCCACGGACTGTCAGCATTCATCCGCTCTGAATCCGAGTTGTATGCGCTGGGAAAGTCGAACTCGAGCTCTCGTCTGGAGCCGGTCTTCCTGATCCTGCGCTGCCAGTCCCAGATCACCGGCAGGAACTCCCACAGGCTAAAGGCCGGCCACAGCGTGTCCAGAAACACAATCTGGGTGTCCTGGTGGCACTGCCAGAGCATGAAGTCGCTGAGACGCTCGACGCCCGAGGTGCGGATCAGAATGTCCAGCGGCGGACAGCCAGCGGTGAGCATATGGTCGCTGAGCGTCTGCGTGGTGATCGTCTCGGGCGAGTGAAACAGCAGCTGGTCGCTGTTGGGTGGATACGAGGTATACAGCTCCGGCGACGCAGTGGCATGCTGCTGATGATGATGATGATGGTGATGTCGGTGTTGACGTTCATGGTTGTGGTGCTGCTGCTGCTGCTGTTTGCCTGTCCCGCTGCTCCCGTTCGTCTCTCCAGAGGCTACATGGTGCAGCGTCGTGGCCGAGGACAGAGAGGAGTTGGAGTCCGATGCCGTCTCGTTGGCCGAAGACGTAGTGACGGGACTATTGCTTCCATTTGACAGCGACTCGCGCGGGTCTGCACTGGGCGTATGCTCACGTATATTCTCGACAATCCGCTTCTCAGAGAACGGTCGACGCGGCGAATTGACTGCGGGAAGCTGGGTCCTGTCCAGCGGCGTGCTGTACTCCATCACCGTGTTGCGGACCGCAGAGGTAATCTCGTCTCTCGAGGTGTAAGGGAAACAGATGTTGAGAATGGCGTCTCCGTTGCCGCTGGTCAGCTCGACCGTCCTGTCGACGGCTTCCAGCACATCCGGGCGTATCTGGTCTCGTCGGCCCAGCACCCGCACGCTCGCTCCGTATCTCTCCAGCAGCTCGCCGTGCTCCGACAGCTGTAGCAGCTTCAGCTTCGCCATCTCCATCAGCGCATCGACCTCGTACTTGGACCGCTTGAAGTTCTCGATGCTGAAGGCGTATATCGTCACCACCTTGATGCCGGAGCTATAGCACACTTCTAGAATCTGCGCCCATTAGCCATGCATTCATTACAATTAAATAGCGAGTAAAGAGCAAAAGAATACCTTTGCCAGCGCCTCGAAGCCCAGATTGTGTCCCTCCACCCGCTCGATGCCCTGGTTGCGGGCAAACCGCCTGTTCCCGTCCATCACGAAGGCAACATGCTGTGGAATAGGGCCCTGTCGCAACGCGCCGATCAACAGCTCTCGCAGGTAGTATATAGCGCCCTCGACGGGGGGAGACGAAGCCAGCCATTTCCGTATCCTCGACAGATGCATCGACGAAGCCATCGCGGAGATATTTCGTAGGGCGTAAAAGGAGTGAAAAGAGCGTAGGCAAGGTGGCCGGAAGTCCCGGGTGGTTTCTTTCTTCTCTGCGATGCTGCCCACCAGCGCAGCAAATAATTAGGTAAAAAGGACGAGAGTCAAACGATGGACGAGAATATTCAACTATTGCAAAGTATTAAAATAAACGTAGGATAAATAGAATGCTTAAAGCAAAAAAAAGAGGACGAGAGAGTGACGTAGATGCGAGAGTCAGACTTCGTGGCTTTGCCGCTTTTTTTGCCTTTTAAGCCTGTTTTTGTTTGTTTTTGTCTCGGAAGAGCGAAGACTCGAAGCGCCCCTGACCTTGTACATACATAGGCAGCAGAAGACAGTAGAAGATGGAAGACAGGAAGACAGAAGAAGACAGAATAGAAGAAGAGTAAATAGATATAGATAGATACAGAACGCCTGCTGGACCCTGAACATCGTCGTAAGATCATCCAAACACTGAAATACCACCCCTTTTGCTTTTAGTCTGCTCATATAGACAGCTGGTTATAGGCGAGAGAGATAATGAGAGAGAGAGAGAGAGACTAGACGTCTTTGCGGTTCTCTGGAGTCTGGGACTCAGAGTCTGAAGCCTCCCACATGTTCGAGTCCTCGCTCTTGCGGCGGCGCTGACGGCCGCGCTCCCGCATGGCGCCCCGGATCCGCTTGCTCACCTCGTCGAAGCTCTCCTTCGAGTCCAGCGTGCTGAACTCCTTGAGCGGGAAGCCAGAGGAGCCTATCAGGCCGCCGTTGGAGCTGCTACGGCTGCGACTGCGACTGGACGGGCGAGTAGAGAAGAAGCCGAAGCTGGCGAGGTCGTGGAAGGATTCGTTGCGAGGCAGCTGGTCCTGCATGGAAAATTCGGTGTGGGAGCGGTGGATGATGCGTGGACGGCCGTAGTCGTCGAGCGGTTCGTCTGTCTCGTTTTCTTCGAGAGACTCCAGGGAAGAAGAGGGCAGGCTCTCGCGGAAAATGGTGTCCTTGAAAGGGTTGGAGACCACGCGCGAGGAGTCAAAGTCAGGGAACATCTCGGGGCCCAGGGTGTTGATAAGGTCGGTTACTTGGATGGAGAGCTCGGCTCGGCGTTCTCGGAGCCTGACGAGGGTGTTGGCTGAGCTGGGGTTGAGAGATAGGACCAGCGGACGGAGCGATTTGAGAATATCCATGCCTATTTCTCCGATGCGGAGGGCGGCGAAGGTGATGGATGGGAAGATCCAGAAGCCGAAGGGGATGATGGTCCAGAGGGGCACCCAGTCAGGGACGTAGCCCCAGACCCGGTGGCTGTATGTCCAGTAGGTGAGCAGGACGGTGTAGAAGGTATAGAGCAGCGGTGCAAAGGCGAGGGCCACGAGCAGCTTCCAGGTAGCCATTACGTCGCGGCCCTGGATCTTGACGCTGGACGCTGCCAGTGCCTCTCGCGACTTTCTGATAGAGATGATCTTGGTGGCCACGAAGACGGGCAGGAAGAGGACGAAGCCGGGAAGAGTGCCGATGGCCATGACTGCCAGCTTGCCCAGGCGGTAGATGAGAGTGGCCACCACTTTGAAGAAGGAGAATTTGGCATACTGGACCTGGTGGTCTCGGATGCCCAGGATGCGGAGCTGCTTGTTGTAGTCCAGCACTGATTTTTTCAGGCTGATAATCCGGGGGTCGTCCTTGTAGTGGGCGTACCCTTTAGCCAGACGACGGTTGAGCTCGACAACCATTGGCAGCGGCAGTTTCTTCCCTGTAGGATTGTACAGCCGTCTTGCAGCTTGGATGACCTGGATATCTAGTTAGTGCTGGCACACAGTAGGAATAAAATTGGTTCAACATACCATAAGAGATTCGTAGTCAGGAGATGTGACGGTAACGGTGACTAGGGCCTGGTATATCGTGTCCAACAGGGTGCCTACAGACTCTCGCTTCTGGCCCTCCTTGTACATCTTGACCAGCTCCGGAGGCACCTTGACCGGGTTTCCAAATTCAATGACCGCCCGAGACCGGAACTTGTGGGCATGGAAATAGTTCATTCCACAGGGTATAATGGTCACATCACAGTCAGGGTTGGCAGCCACAGCTCCAAGGGCCATCAACGCAACGCCAGCTACAAACATTAGCACTATATCCAACAAATCAATAGTAAGTTAACAAGGACATACCTTTCAATGGCAAGAGATCCGGACGATCATGACTTCCGCCCTCCGGGAAGATGCCAATACAGCCTCCCTGGTTGAGCGTATCAAAGACAGCATTATACACCTGCGTCTGGTCAACGTGCGGCGCAACCTTGAACTTCGAGCCCTGAAACTCAGCTGGACTCTTAACATCCGCGCCCCCCGTAAAGTTGCCGTCTTCATCCACGTCGTCTCGCCCCGTCAACTGCTGCATGGCCTGCTGTGTCTTGAACGGCTTCTTCAATATGATTTCCTCGGGTCCCTTGATCTCGCCGATATCCGTACTGCTTGACCGTCCACCAACCGAGGGCAACGAGATCGTCCCACCAACTTCAAACGCCGAAGAAGTAAAGTCTGTGCCGTGGCCACGTAGCAAGGTCGGGTTGTTGATGGGGTCCGGTAGATAGATAGTCCCCTTGCCCGGCTTCAGGTTGTCCATTGCTCGCGTAACGGGGACTGAGCCCGTGAAGCGAGCGAGCAAGCCTACAAAACGGCGTTTGAATGATTTCTGGGCGATCAGGAAGGCGATTCGACGGTGAAGTTCCATGCGCATTACCCGCATCAGGATGAGGGAGTCCACGAACTGTACAGACATTATTAGTACCAACGCACGCAATACACAGCATAACAGCACAACACAACAGCATAGAATAACAGAACAAAGTAGATGACGTACTTGATTGGCATGGGGAGCAGCGACGAGAATCACCGGCCCTCGCTTGGGGACTTTCCACGAGCCGCGGGGGTGCACTTCGCGGAAGAACAGGTCGACCAGCAGCGAGAGGAACCACAAGATCAGGTCGTACATCCAAGTGACCATCGGCCGGTACTCCTTGTCCCCGGAAGCCATCTTGGACCAGGTAATCGAATGCAATCAGGCGTATCCAGGCCGGTTATGAGTTGTTCGAGCAGACAGCGACTGTCCCTTGGGGTGACGGCTCTGCAACCATGAGCAGCCGGCAGGTCGCTGTATCGACGCACAACGCAACGCCGTCTCTTCTCTTCGTCCTTCTCTTCTTCTTCTTTTTCTTCTTCTTCTTCTTATTATCCGATGAGGTCGGTGGCAGGCGGTGGTATCTGGCTGTGCTGGCGGCGGGGGGGAATCTGCATATCTTGCCCGGGTGTTTATCTGCAGGGCTTTTTAGCAGGTTGTTAAATATAAACACCGTCCCGCCCGGATGTTCTTTTTCCTTCTTCTCTGTTCGCTGGCCTGAGACACGGAGGAGGGCCAATAGCTGTGTGAATCCTGGGATTAGCAGCAGGGAAGCTGGCAGGACGGGGATTTAATTAAGAGCGCTGCGACGAGCGGCCAGGCTTCGAGCAGCTTTTTATAACTTATGCTGGATGTTTGTTTGTTTGCTGCTGCGGTCAAAATGGGAGCGAGTTAGCCGAAGGAGGCGAAAAACAGGATACGAAGCGAGAAAAGGGGCCAGCAGCTCCCTCCGTGCATGCATGGATCTGGCTCGAGCGACGGGTTTCTTGCATGGCGCATTGAGATATTCATGTCTGAACATGGGGATATGCTGATTGAGCAGAGGTCGAGGATGGGGATGCACAGTGATGCAACTTCTACCACCTTGCGAGATGGACAGACAGGATGAAGAAGAAGAAGAAGAAGTGAAGAGAAGAATGAAAAGAATACATTGAAGCCGAGATACATAGACCAGCTAGTAGATATCTGCTCTTGTCCCAACAACTCCGTCGCTGGATGTGTTAATAATATGAAAACGCTAGCTAGCAGATGGTGCAGATGTTGTATGTAGAATGCCATAGCCGGCCCTAACTAAAGCAACCCCGAAGTTCTAGTCCCCCCTGAAGACCTCCTAACCAACAGCTAATGATACTCCTCCTCACCATGAGCAGTAGAAGTCACCTTCCCTCCTCTCCTGCGTCCCACGATCCTGCTGAGGTCCGCCTGGCTTACCCTCCGCTGCATATCCAGCAAGAGCTTCTCCTGGTCCTTCCAGCGCTGCTCCCAGATATCCTCGACCTCGTTCCGGGCCCGCTCTATCTTCGCCTCCGTCTGGAACTCCAGCAAGTTGATCGTATGTCGGAGCTCGTCGATGATGAAGTCGCGCGACCTCAGCTCCTTGCGGTAGACCTGGTCGACTTCATTCAGGCGCTCGCGCAATTCGGCTAGCTCACGACACTTCTGATGCAGCACACGCCGGTGTTCACGGTCAATGCTGCGTATCATGCGGGAGAAGTGGATGCTGATTTCGTTCTCGGTGTCCATGGCTGGCGGCTCGTCTGTGTCAGCATAGCCTTCTTCGACGGTGGGAGGGCCCTGGGGGACGGCCAGCATGGGGCTGCGGGTTGCTCGGGGTGTAGTGGGAGGTGAGCGGCCGCGGGAGACGGTGGAATGGGACTGCCAGTGGTCGGCCGTACTCGTAGTGTTGTTGTTACTATTGTTGTTGTAGGTCGGAGAAGGGTGGAAGATGTCGCTGGATCTTCCTATGCTGGGGCCAGCGGAATGGGTCATGCGAGGGCTGGATGCAGGGGGTGGGTTGATGGAGAAGGCGTTGCGTAGAGACTCAAAGGACATGCCTGTGTCTAGCTGGGGGAGACGGATTCCATTCCGGCGTCGTAGGAAGTTGTGGTTGTGTCTGTGGATGTTATGGTTGGTGTTGTTGGCATTGGTATGATGGGCGTTTGGACGGAGGTTGGCCTGGATATTGCTTTCTGATACTGAGCGTCGTTTGGCTACCACGGTGATCTTCTCAGGCCCTGGGACGAACGAGTGAGCTCGAGAAACAAGTCCTGAACTCGATCCCGATGCTGACCCTCTTCTCTCGCGCTCAACTGGCGTCTCCGGCAGCTCGGCCGTAAGTAGATCGTTGTCCTGTGGTCCGGGAGCGTCAGTGCCAGCACCAGCATGCTCTTCAGATCTATCCTGTGTCAGGCTGACGGATGGAACACGCTGCCTCATCAAAGGGTGGTAGTCACGCTCGTTGAGCGGCCATGCTATGGTCTGGTAGTCCGGGATATTAGGGGCCGGCAGCTCGTTGTTGCTCCCCGTAGCCAGGTTCGTGTCCAGGCTGGAGTACTCGGGGGGCGCAGCAGTGTACGGCGGCAGGCCTGAATGCTCCGTTATCCTGGAGCCGTCCCGGTTGATCCTGAAGATGCGGCCTCCCACGACGAGCTCCATGCTGCGGATGCTCCTTGTGTCTTCCTGTAGGGTGGTGATGGTCACTCCTGTCCTGGTCGAGACGACGCTGGACGATCTGCTGCGGACAGATACCCCACCGCCGCCCGCCTGTGACTGAGCAAGGCTCTGATGGTACGGTTGGTCCTGCGGCTCCATGGTCGTTCACTCAGGATATCAATAGGGGCTTCTTCCCGATAGCAGGCAGTAAACGAAAGACAATTGTCAAATGCAGCAGTTAGCCTAGCGGTACTGCCCTCCAGGAGCTCAGCAGTGGCAGCTCGCCTGACTCTCGTAACTAATGCGTTGGTGAAATGGGTTAACAGCAACGAACAGCTCACCCGTCCTGTCCGTAGCTGACGATTGGACAAGGAAGGCCGTTTCGAAGGTTGGTTGGTTAGCTGGTTAGTTGTTTAATTTGATATCTCAGCTCTCGCCCACAACGCTCTTAAGTAACTGCGGGATGGCCCGACAACGGCTCCACGGTCCATGTCAAGGCAACCAAGATAAAAAAAAGTGGCCATCACTTTGTTTTTTTCAGCCTCCTCGCCGCAATACGAAGGGCTCGCGGGGACTGTCGATGCTCCAGCAAAAGTGGCTGTTTCTCGCTCCCCTGAATGGCGGACATCGACAACCCTACCCCTTGGCAAGATTGGGCGTTGTGAGCCCGTATGACATCAGAATGCATCTGGAAGGCTGTAACAGCACGCCGGTTGGCAGCTTGAGTCCCTGTCAAATGAAACACGGCTTGGGTCTGCAGCAAGAAAAGCGCTGCCTGATGTACCTTGCAAATGAGAAAACACCTGTTCTCCGTAGTTAGATGTGACATGATGCGATTTGGGCATGGGAAATTAGTATCCTGCCAGCGAAAGACACAGCTGAATACACGGGTGGCCTTTGAGAGAGTGTGTCTGATGATCCAGTGAATGTGCTGTTCTTGACTGCCTGTTTTTTGTCTGCCTCGATGGTTTCCAGATAGTTAAACTGATAGCCAGGTGCCTAGATGAATAGTTACTAGGGAGAAATCGTGTATCTCCAAGGAAGAATTCTCCATTTTCCTTGTTCTTGCCTGAGTCGGATTCCTCCGCACCCTTATTGCGGCTTGCGGCCTGATAGGTGCCAGTTAGCTGGTTCCTTAATGTAAGGGGTGATATTGTATGCATGTATTATCTTCGCCACGCTATCGATAATCAGTCAGTCGTTGACAGGTCGGTCCTTAGGGTGATACTCTTGCTGCCTGGCAGACCCTCACGGGCACTGCTGCATGCCCCTAGCCACCATCGTGTCTTATTCGGGTGAATGCCACTCCCGGATTATCTTGATCGCATGCAATATCATTACTCGTCTGGTTAGCCGGCCATGCATGCGCCCAGTTGTTTCCGAAGATGCTCATGCAGCGATGCATCCTTGCCATCTTTGCTTGCAGAGAGCAACAACCCAATAACCCTGCAAGATGCAGGCCAAGCCAAGTCCTTGGTTGCATAATTGATTAATCGGAATGGTTCGCATTCCTTTAGATGCAGGAAACATGGCCCCTTATGGCCGTATAAACCTGGTAAACGGCCGCAAGCGGAACAATCAGACGAAGAGAAAAGAAGAAGCTGTGGCTATACTCTGCTAATTAACACCGTCAGTAGTGTTTGTTTCTTCTGCTCGAACGCTTCCTGAAACGGAGACGGATAGATTAACCAATTAGTCTTGCCCGATGTGTGCGTGGGAGTATGCCTGAAAGCCCGTAAGCGGCGCCTTGGAGCCGTCGATCAATTAACCAGCTGTCGCTGTTTCCCTCTGATCCTGGTCTTCAGTGATCCCAATGAGTAACCGTCTAGGCGGAAAAGTGACCCTCCTCCATGCATACGGCGCGGGCCAGGCGACCAGCAGGGCAGCACAGCAGGCTCCAGTTGAAAAAAAGAACGCGGTTGCTAAGATGAATCAAGCCATATTGACACCTGCACGCAGTGGAAATCGTTCTCTCCCCCTTACCGAAGCCCAGAGTTCGCGAACACTGCAGCTCGTAACTTTCCAGGTACTACGGCCTCTCTGTCCAATCTGCCCAAACCCAAATGATACCGACGGGGATAACTCGTTCCACGGGACAAGCGTTGGCAACGTTGACGCACCACCAAGTCTTCCCATGGCGGGATGCTGGAAACTACTTACCCAAGGAACATCGTCTGCCGTGATGGTGCTCTAGAGATAAAAGGGACCAGTATCTCCCCTTCAGCAGCAGGGACAGAAAAAAACACAGAATTTTGAACACGGCAAAGCAGTTTTACCAACCATCCACCGTCGCCCATCGAGTCTACCATAAAATTCAGCAACTTCTTCTGCTACGTCTCCTTGTAGCATGCCTCATCAATCCAATACTGCACAGACCTCAAACTCCAAACCACGCAACAGGTAACCTTCACTTCCTCCTGGGTTACCTGGCGGAAAACTCACTGACATCTGATCTCCCTTAGCTCTTTTATCCCATCCTCGTCTTCGGGCGGCCGTAATTCCGCGGGCGGCAGCCAGCTGCAGCAGTATATTAATAGTTCTGCATGCTCTGATCCCTGGTCAGCCTATCGGGAGGGTACCAGCAACGCCACGGAAATCAATAAGCTGATGGACGACCTGAAGCAGCAATTTGGCAAATAATCGGCAGGGCATTAAACGAGCCCGGGAGAGTGGTATCAAATTCGTATGGGTGCCTGGGTGTACAGCATACCCATGTTTCGATGTATTATTAGGGTGTATTTCCAAGCAATCCATGCACGTCATTCCTTAGTTGTTTTTCCTGGTATCAATAGCCCCTTGGTCGTAAGCTTGTTAAGCAGCGTAAAACGTGGAAGAGCGTAGTTGATGCTGGCAGGTCGAGAAGTTGGTCGTCATAACTAGTCAGGGCAGGAAACAACACGATACAAGCCCGGAAAGGGGAAGAGTTCGTCTTACGTAATGAGACTGGCCAATAAAAGTGCGTCTTAACAAACGGCACTTACTATATTAGGCTTAGTAGTCACGTGTGATGTATTAACCTTATATCGACAGGGGTTGTGAATGATTAGCTAAGCAATGTTGAGAAAACACCTGTTGGAACACGGACCAAGGGACAAAAAGGACAAAAAGGCCTTATGCCCCATGTCCACAACGGAACATAAGCCATATACGAGTTCTACAGACACAAGAGGATGACTAATCCTGACAAAACCTCCTGAACTTCCCTTATTTCGGGGGCTTCAATAAGCCTCCTTATCTGCCTGCTCTCCGTCTGTCTCGACGGTTTCTCTCCTTTAAAATATGATGTTTTATTCATTCATTCAGAAAGAAAAAACCATAACTCCAAGGGTGGGATCCCGCCCGCCCGCCCTCCCAAAACTGATCTCATCTAGTTGTCAGGTTGTTATCGCCTAATTCTAAGGTAACACTGATTGTCCGTCGCAATGCGATATGGGCAGTAACTATAATAATCTGATTAGTATATCCTTTTAATATATATAAGATACCTATTTTACTTACCGTCTGATATAAAGAAATGCCTTTTCTAAAAATATAAAAATGGTAATGATAAAGTGGGCCCATTGGGCCCACAAGGGGAGTTGCGGCGGCATGTTGCTGGTGCTGATGCTGCTGTGGCTGTTGATGCCGCTGTTATTGCTGTTGGTGCTAATGCTGATGCTGAAGCTTATACCGGTGCTAGTGCTAGTACTGTTGTTGCTGTTGTTGTTGTAGCTAGTGGTGGTGATGATGTTGTTGTCTTGAGTATAGTCAGATACGCTAGTTACCCAAGCAGTCTTTTATACCACCGGATTTTCAAATCTAGGAAACTACTCTCCACATTAGTTATAGTAGCACTTTCCCTTCGCTAACTATACAGGTTACACATCTAATTAACTTATCCACGGAAGAAGCACTCGCCAGCGCCTAGCCCAGCCAGTGGTGAATTAGGTACGCTCAGCCTTTAGACAGCCATCTATCTAGTCCAGCAGCTGAAGCCTTAAAGGAGGTTATCTACCTTGCTTGTTTCCTGTGAATGTGAAGAAGAATCAACGCCTGCAATATATGGCTTACGACTGAGCATAAGTCTATGCGTTATATCGAGGCCCCTATCCAAAGTGTTAATTACTCGAACGGATGGCCAGCTGCTACTCCATACACTTAACAAGAAACAAGCTTTGCTTGATTTTAGCATCAAACAATCTCAACTTTCTTCTTTTGAGGTGGGTCCAGAGTTAACTATGAATGATTGCTTATCTTGACTCTTCAACTTAAAAGATATCTAATGGAAACATCGGAGGCCATATATTTGATATATAAAAGTACACCTGGTTGTTTTGAAAGCTAGGTTTTACTGGCTTATATATCGAGTATTCGGCAGTCTTCTTAGTTGCTGCCTGCGTTTCAGAGCTTCTCGTACGACTCACGGCGAAGATGGTAGAGAACTCTGCAAGTATATCTGGACGAGAAGCAGCCTAACAACGGTGGCGGCAGCGACGATAGCATCTTTCTCGCTGTCCCCTGTCCTCCAGCTCTCCGTCTCTCTAGCTCTCTCGTTGCATCCCTCGCTCTCTCTCTTCTCCTCTTGCTCCCTCTCCTCCTGTTCCCTCTCCTCCTCTTGCTCCCTCTCCTCCTCTTGCTCCCTCTCCTCCTCTTGCTCCCTCTCCCTCTCCCTCTCTCTCTCCCTCTCCATTTCTAGCTCCCTCTCTTTCGCTTTCCTCCGCTCCCTCTCTATCTCCATATCCCGTCTGCTCTTCCACTCCCTCCTTCTCGCTCTCTCTCCATCTTTCTCTCTTTCCACTTCCAACTTCCTCTCCTTGCGCCTCTCCTTTTCTCTCTTACACACCGTCCGCTTCGCGCGTCCCCACTCACCCGTCTCGGCACATAACTGATCTATTTTTGCTTTCTGCCGCTTGGATTTTGCAGCCTCTTCCTCTCGTGTCCTAGTACTAATTAACCCAGTATTCTCGAAAGATACTCATGGAATAAGGCTACCTACCGCCCCTTCTCCCTTCTACAGTATCTCATTTTACCATTAGATTTGATATAAAAATAACTATATTTCGATTCCACGAACAATCGACTGTGAGTGCGAATAATACGGTTAACGCATATTTCTTCCCTACTAGAGGATTGTGGTACTTACATGCCCGCGCCTTCAGGTCGTTCGAGCTCTCCAGTATTCTCTACAGCAGTGTAGGCTGGTGGAAGACTAGTGTTGGCCATATTTGAGTCTTTTGACTGGCGGGTCGATGTAGAAAACTAAGGGTAAGGACGTTTGAAGTGGTAGAGGCGTCAGGCATCTTCTTAACACTTTTAGTAGAAGAAGTGGAAGAGGGCAGCAGGAGGGAGTTGCACGTAATTTATATGATGGCTACGAGTAACCACATTCGTCATCGACGACTTGTGCTCAACCATGGTTAGGCAGAGCCGCCTTTTGAGCCGCACCGTTGCCCAGCCACGTAGTTACTAAACTTTATCTTCTTGTCGATAACTATGGATCATCTACGAGGAAAGAGAAATAATCGAGTGACATCTGGATAAGCTCGGCGTTGAGGTTTTGATTTATCCTTAACTAACTAGTTAACAAACTCCATATTCAATGGATGATGTAGTAAGTAACTACTCCTGAAATGCGTTGATGATAGTGAGAACATCACCGGCTCAATAAAGGGCATTTAGGACGAGGGGTCTTTATATCGGATGCCCTTGTTTCAAACTCGGGAAAATAAATAGGGATAAAAATATAATCTTTATTCATGTAGTTATTCAGAGAAACAAAAAAAAACACCAAAAACACATGAAACTCCAAGGGTGGGGTCCCACCCTCCTACCCGATGACCCCACCCTCCCACCCACCCGCCCGGAAATCATCTTTTTTTTTTTTTTTTTTAATTTGTTGTTATTTTGTCTTTTCTTGACTTGGACGATTGCCTCTTTCATCTGTAACAAGGCGATACGGGCAGTATCTAATAATTATTAGTATATCCTTTCAATATATATAAGATACCTATTTTACTTACCGCCTAATAAAGGCGATTACTTGTTAAGAAAAATTAATAATATTAAAGTAAAATGCAACCATTAGGCCCATTCTGGGAACTAGGGGAGGTAGCATTTTGGTTGTATTGCGGTTGTTATTATTATTTTGTTGTTTTTGGATATAAACACGTCCTCTCTCGTCTGTCACCAGGCGATACAGGCAGTGACTATAATAATCATTAGTATAACCTTTCGATATATATAAGATATCTATTTTACTTACTGCCTGATATAAATAAAAACTTTCTCTAAGAATATAAAAATGGTAAGAATGAAGTGAAGGCATTGGGCCCAGATAGGGAGTTGGGGCGGCATTTTGGTTGCGTTGCCGTTGTTATTATTTTCTTGATATTGTCTGACTCGAATATTGCCTTGTTTATCAGTAACCAGGCGGTATGGGTATTTCCTATAGTAATCTGATTAGTATATCCTTTAGATATATATAAGATACCCATTTTACTTACCTCCTTAGATAAATAAAAGCTTTTTCCAAAAATATAAATATTGTAAGAATGAAGTAAACCTATTGGGCCCATGGGGGGAGTTCGGGGGCCATCTTGGTGTTGTTGCTATTATTGTTATTATTATTATGTCAAAAACTTCAGCTCTACCCACTATGAGTGTAGACTTACTCCTTTTCAGTGTAGTTGCAGACTTTGACTTATCGTTATCGTGGTACCACTGATAGTGGTGATGGCGTTGATGCTGGTGTTAATGTCGGAATATGAACTGCAGGGCCAAAAAGGCCTATCTGCCCTATGTTCTCGAGGGAACATGGATCAAGACAGCGAGTTCTAGCGGATAGATAGTTGTCCTAGCAGTTGGTAGTGTTGATTGTTGATGTTGTGATGTTGTTGATGTTGTGATGTTGTTGATGTTGTGATGTTGTTGATGTTGTTGTCTTTAGATACGCTACCCAGGCTGTCTTTTATAGGAAACTGCTCTTTACCTTAACGGTAGGAGCCGCCCGCGTTGTATGGCCTATGACTAAGCATAAGCCTATGCGTTATATTGGGGTCTCTATCCAAAGCGTTATTATTCACATTATTATTCAATTCAACTCGAACAGACGGCCAGCTGCTGCACTTAACAACTTAACAAGACTCCTTTTGATGGCTTCATTTCCATAACTAGATCGACACATCTCGACTCGGTCTCGCAGATCCTCCGTCGTCTCCCCTTGACCTTCAAACGCTTGATCCTCGACTGCAACGGCTCCCACCAACCAACCCCGCCGGCGCCAGTACGTCATGACCATGTCCTGAGCCCGTGATCCCCATGTATCCATATTTCTTTTAGACAAGTACAAGCTCTCCCTCGCCCGGCTGCAGGGGGTCGACCTCTTCCTCTCGCTTTGCCTTTTCTTTTCCCTTCGCATGGCGCGCCTGTTGTGAATATTCTAACATACATACATAGTTGCCCACAGGCAGACCGGTTTTAACGCTCTTTTTTGACTTTTCGAGTTGCGCCTTCGAGACGGCTCGGACAAGGGCCCTGGGGTGCGGGCTACGGTTACAGCGTACAGTGTCCAGACGACTAGTGGCTGTAAAGAGGCACAGAGCACTCGACAGTCGCAGGGCCAGGTTGCGTCTGGCCCGTCGAGCTCGCCATGTCTATAAAGTAGGTCCCAGTCTTCTTCCCTCTCAGATGGCTGTCTAGATGAATACCCTATCTGCGGCCTCACGATGGGCAAGTCGGTGCTAAAGGCCTGGATGCTTAGTTGGGCCATGGTCCATGAGACCAAGGGGCTGGTCCTGCTGCCGAACGAACGCATCATATACACCTCCCCGCTGCGCACAAGCATAGCTCTCAAGTCCATCCACCCAGGCCCCGACAAGCAGTCCTTCGCCAGGCAGGCCAGCACCGGCCATGTCCACCTCACCAACCAGAGAGTATGTCTGTTGTCCTCGTTACCTCGACTTATACACAGATATCTTACGTTTATAGATCGTCTACCTCCCCTCGCAACCTACACAAGAGTTTCAGTCCTTCTCCGCGCCCCTGCTGAATCTCATAGACACCCACGTTGCCGCACCCTTCTTCGGCCCCAACGTATGGAACGCAGTCGTCCAACCGGTTTCCGGAGGTGGGATTCCGGCTTCCTTTGCAGCCATACAGCTTAAACTCACCTTCAAGGATGGCGGGGCGTTTGACTTCCACTCGAACTACGAGCAGATCAAGGAGCGGCTGCAACAAGCCGTCGAGCGGGCCAGGGAGAGCGGGCTGATGTCTGGGGACGGGGCGCAGGTAGGAGGCTCCGGACGAGACGGCGGTGCGTTTGGCGTCGTCGACTTTGCGAATGTGCATCTCGAGGACTTGCCGGCGTACGAGAGCAATTCTACCACCGGTAATAATCATGATATATCAGGAACACTCCCACCACAAACAACAACTACCACAACCACAACCACAACGACTGCAACGGCCACATCAGCTGCAAACGAGGATAGCAGGTCCGGCCGGCAGTCGTTCGAGACACCTACTGATCCGCCGCCGGGGTATGAGGAAGTGCAGCAGCAGAGCGTCGCCAACGAGCTGGAGAACCAACTCCGCCGCCGCCGCCAGTAGCGTCTATCCTTAGCATCACCATCCTCGTAGTTAGCATTCTTCTCTTCTCTTTCTCCTCTTCTCCTCTTATTATTCTCTTCGTGTCTTTATAAAGTGCTTCTTTTCTTCTATTTCTTCTATATCTTTTCCCCTAAATCACGTGCCTCCACAAACCAGCCAATCACAGCCCTTCTAAACCAACCTTCGTCCTTTTTTCGCTCCAAAACATCGACGAAAAAGACGACGAAGAGACCAACAACGTCGACAAAAGGCCACTCAAGCCCTGCCGCAGCCACATTAGCTCCCGAGATACACGTCTCATCTCTTCGGAGCGGACAGATCAACCCCCTCCCAGCATCTCCCTGCACCGCTGCATATCGCTCTTCCCACCGCTACAATGGGTATCGCCGACATGTTCGTTGAGTTCGTGAGCTCGCTGAGCTTCGGAGAGGTCGTTGAGGCCGAAGCCCCCCCGGCTGAGGAGGTCGAGGACTCGTCTTCTGCCGGTGAAGATACGCCTGACGAGGACAAGTCGGAGGATGCCGAGGAAGAGGCCGAGGAGGAAGAAGAGGAAGAGGAGGAGCCAGAGGATATCATGCCCAAGTTGGTAGAGGGTGAGTGTGGCCCGTCCCTGTTTGTTCCTGGTGTATTTCGCTTTCCGGAGGGCGGAAGGCGGACTTATGAAGCGGTCGAGATGGCCAATTGATGGATTGGTGTGGTCAATTGGACAATTGGCACCGTATATTATATGTGCCTTTGCCGAAGTCGATATCGATTGCGTTCAGCAGCAAGTAACTAACCAAATTGCTTTGATAGAATGCTCAAACTCCAAGGCCTGTGCCCCTGCTAAGCACCATTTCGACGACTGCGTTGAGCGTGTCACTCGCAACTCCGAAGATCCCGAGTTCAAGGGCCCCCACGAGGACTGCGTTGAAGAATGTAAGTCATCGCACACCCCCGAAATGTCGATGTCAATGGCATGTTCTAACCACTTTGTAGTCTTCCACCTCCAACACTGCGCTACCCAGTGCGCTGCTCCCAAGCTCTGGCGCGAATTGAAATAGATCTGATGTCCTTTCGTCTCTCTTACAACCCCCCTCCACCATCCCGGTTTCGTCCGTGTCATTAGAACAACCTGTACTATACATAAAACTCCAAATCACAGTTCTGGATTCCCTGCTTGTTTCTTTGCGGAATCGTTAGACAGAAAGAAAGGATGGACTAGTGTGGAATGGGGGATGTGGGAGAGATTAGATGGGCTTGTATCTGCCTGCATATATGTTTCGACCGATTGTACCTTGTACGGCTAGTTTATTCCTTATTTTTGGCATTAGATGTTGTCTACGGATGAAAATGATAGAATATCACTCTCCATTTATGCAGCGGGTATTCAATGCTACATTGTACTGAACTAAATCCAAACTAAAGCAAACAACGAAACAAAGAAGGGTATATATATATCATCAGGCAAATTATGTACTTACACCCTCCGGGCAATGGCCTCCTCTAGACTGCCAACACGCTGACACTCGGCTTCAAGCCTGCGTTTACGCACGTCCGTCCCAAACAAACCAACGCATAGTGGCAGCGGCACCACGGCCGAAGCAATCACTGCCTGGAAGATAAGAGCCCGCATCATATGGAGGGGCGGATCTTCTTCTGGTCCAGCCTTGAGTGCGTTCTCGATTAGAATAAACGTCGCTCCGAAGACTTGGCCGCCAGTCCAGCATAGCGTGCTCGGGATCTCAGGCGACATGGGGTAGGTGATTTCAACCATATACTCGAGAGCCACTGGGAGAATGCAGAAACTAGCTGCGCCCATAACAGAAGCAAGCACGTACGGACCTGCAACGTTGCCTGAGCTGGGCGCGAAGATGAAGGCGATGTAGGTTGCTGCGAGGATGGGGACGAGGATTTTCATGGTACCCAGGTAGTGTTTTAGGCGGTCAATGATGGGGGACATGATGGCGGCGGAGACAAGGCCGACCACGATCAGAAGGGCACCTGTTATCCCTGCTACGGTCTCAGAGTAGCCATGTGGATAGAGGATCTGGTTGAGCAGCGAGGAGATGCTGTTAAAGAGACCGACATAGATGCCAAAGGGGAAGAAGATGAGCCAGAATTCAATGCGGGTGGCTAGTTGGCGCAGACTCGATAGAAGTGGTGGCTTTACTGTCTCCGAAGCCGCGCTGGGGGGTGTAGGAGGTCGGCTGGGGACGAAAAATGATGGTATGCATGCGACCGAGGACTATTCAGTGGTAGATAAGTTGGTTAGTTGGCTATGGGTTCCTAATATATCGTATGATGTTTCTATAGCTGGGGGTGGGTGTATAATATCCCTCTGATGTGCTCCGTCGGATAGAGGCATAAGGGGCTTACAATAATCGAAACATAAAGCACGAGATTGGGAATCTGCTCAGGATCCGTGGCCAGTAAAGGCCCGATCAGCTGTCCCAACGCTCCGCCAAGGGGGTTTGCCAGGCTGGCAACTGCTGTTGCGCTTGTCCGGCCCTGGCCAGTGAACCAGATGTCACTGTATCTCGTCGGGGCTGTCAGGACAAACGGCTGGGAAAACCCGATCAGAATCTGACCCAGCATGGCAACTCCGAAGTTGCCGCTGCCCGCGCGGGTGCCTGCATATCTAATCCAGTTGCCCGCGAGAAGCAGGGCAGACGCGGTAATGATGGAGGACCTGGGGCCGCCCCTGTTGAGTGTCCATATAACTATTCTGTATGCCCCCCTCGAGATTAGCACATTGTTCGATAGCCGGACACGACTAGCAAGGAGAACCACATCACTTACGGGCTAGCAACGCAGAATGCAAAGAGGAAGGCAGTGCTCATCCAGTTGATGGCCCCCTCGCTGACCCGGAAGTACTCTGAGGCCGTCTTCGATACGGCTGAGAAGGTGAGCCACTGGGAGAAGTCAGCAATGCCAGGCACAAATCTGGGGTAACTAAAGATAAGACAGATATAGAATCACTTACATCCCAGCTGACGATGATATTCAGCAGGACCAGCTGTCCCAGGCCGAAGAAGCGTCTCTTATAGACCTTGAACGCCGCAGGCTCTGGCCTCGCCGTCGTCCTGGTGTCCAGCGTCTCAACCTCAATAATATCATCCTTTGCCGTGGATGGAGGCGAGCCTCCCTGAATATAGTCCGTAGAGTCCATAGTCGCAGCCGGCATCAGGACAGACAGACAGACAGGCCAGACGTCATGGGCGGCCTCCAATATATCTGTGCTAGATTCCTAACCAGAGCCCGTCCAGGAGATGTCTGTCTATCCCCCTGAAGCTGCTCCAGCAGTTCCAGAAGGCGTCCTGGCGTCTCTCCCTCTCCCTCCCACTAACTGGCTGGCATCCGGGCCGACACATGTGACGGCGCAGGGCCTAAGGAAAGCCCTGCTGCAGGATCGCAAACGCTGGCCGCCGTTTGTTTCGACTTGCATCCGGGGAAACGGAGCTGGTGGGCTCTTCCAAATCTTCCCTGCAGGGGCCCCATCCCACTATCTGGGTGGTACCCAGGCTCTTGTTTAATGCTGTCGTTGGGCGTTGTAGATTGTAGCTGTAGATTGTAGCCGTCGACGTCGATGCAGGTAGGCTGCTAGCCCCCCCTGGAGCCACGCAGGACAGCAGCCAGCTTGTTTCCCCTGCTCCGGCTCGCATGGGAGCATCGATAAGGCTCGTATCAGACGGATAGACAGTGCTGGATGAGCAGTCGATTTGGTGGCGCATCTCGTTGAGCCAGCCGATTCGTGGTATTCGGAGATAATAGGTGCTTTGTTTTTTCTGCGGTCTGCCCTGCCCGATCTTTTTCCTCTCATCGTTCTTTTTTCAGACCTGTCTGATCGGTGATATCGATTCCTGATTTCCTCTCGGGTCGCAGAAGGGGATTATATACGTCTTTGCCGGCTGTCTTGCTGCTGTTGTTGCTGTCGTTGTCGTTGCTCGCTGTGAAAATGTTGAGCCGCCCCCTTTGCTAGCCAGCGAGACCCTTAAACGAAAAGCCCAGCTCAGCCTCTCTCGATTGCGAAGGATCTGTTTCATACGACAGATCCAGCTCTGCGATCATGAATACAACGAGCATCCGGTCCAGCGAGTATTCTTATAGAGACCCGCGGTACTACTCTTCGTCCTCCCTTGGGAATGCGCCTCTCCCCAAGACGCTGGATGGCTACGGCGGCATGATGCACCCTGACGACGGCGAGGGCTCGAGGTACAACCCTGTATGTCCATCTCTATAATCTCCTTAATATCATAGTCAAATGACGGTCAATATGGCCAATGTCAGTTCAATGGCGTGCTGATGTGTGCTGATATGTGTGTGTAGCAGCTTTCTCGCGGCTCCGTCCTGCTCAACCCCAACGACCCGGTGTCGATGCACCTGCTCGCAGAGACCGCCATTGGAGACAGCCTGCACTTCGAAGTGCTCTCGTTCGAAGAGGTCGAGGAGCTGAAACGAGAGCTCGCACTGGTCCAGTCACGCATTGACGGCGGGAAACGAAAACTAGCGCTGGAGCTGAAACTGCAGGAGGCTGCTCAGTCCCTCAACAGGCTCTACGACGACGGCTCGGACAGGGTGAACGGCCATCTGGGCCAGGATGCACACAGACATGGACACGGCCATGGAGATCTGGATACCTCGGACGAAGGACTGGCTATCACGCGGCGGAAGTGCGAGGAGCAGGCGCAGGAGATAGCGAAGCTGGAGCGCAGGGCCAGTGATATCCGGACGAGAATACTCGAACACACGGCCGGAGTGCTGCAGATGACACACAAGGGACTGAAGAAGAAAAAGGGATCAAAGACAGACGACCTCTCGTCGACATCTGACGATTTGAACGGTTTGGATCCGTACGGCTGTGGACATGAGTTTGACCATAGGAGTCTATACCGGACAGCCGATTACCTGGACCACCATGGCGGTGCACCGCCCAGAGACGTCCCTAGCCTGGAACCGGATGTCGAGTCTCTCAGTGGTCTGCAGGATACGCAGTCGAAGCTCGAGGAGATGACCTACAGGCTGCGTGAAATGCTCACGCAGATGAACACCGACCAGGAGATTGACCCTATCCCCCAGATAATCACCAACGAAGGGTCTTCCGACCCCCTGGCCACCGTCAACATACAGATTGACTATCTAGAAAAGGGTCTGGAGACGATTGCGCTGCATCAAAGTCATTCCTCCCGCGGTCAGGATAGCCATACCTCTGAAGACTCTCCTTCCAACCATGATACGATTGATCGGCTCGATGCCTTCAGTCGACGGCTCGACGAGGCCCTGGCAGCAGCTGGGTCCAGCAGACAGCCTACCAGCCCACACATGTCTACTATCAGGAAATCCATGGCTGAACAGCTGGACTACCTTGACTCTGCTGTTACAGATGTTGAGAAGCGGATTGACAGCCTAGTCGAACAAAAGACCATCCTCGGCATCCAGATACAACAGCAGCGAGACCTCAACTCCAAGTCTGATGCTGAGCGTGATGCATACATTGCAGACCTTACGGAGGATCTGACCAAGCTACGCAAGGAGCTGGACAAGTCTCAGGCCGAGGAAGAAAGCTCCAAGGCCGAGATAGCCATGCTCATCGACCAGCTGGATGCTGCTCGACAGGACTCCATGCTTCGTGAACAGAAACGTAGCATCGGGGAAGCACCTGAGGCAACCCCCGAGAAGGAAGCACTGATGAAAGCTGGACAGGAGCTGGCAGAGAAAGAGACTCAAATCTCCAACCTAGAGTCCACCATACAAGAACTACGTTCCCAGACCGATGCTCATCTCCACCACACTCGTGAACAGGTCCAGCAGGATCTAGCTGAAAAGGACTCTCTCATCAGCAACCTAGAGTCTACTCTCCAGGAACTACGCTCCCAGGCGGACAGCCAGTTCAGCCAGATCAAAGAAGCCCATCAGTCCCGCGAAGAGGCCGAGCAAGCTCACGCCAAACTCCAGACCGAATTCTCCGAACTCGAGAGTGATATGGTTCGCATCCAGACTGAACTCACCTTCGCCAAAGCAGAGCTCGACAGTGCCTACGGAAGCAGGTCTGAACGCGCCGCCG